GCAAGAGGGAGAGTATAACCAGCAGAGACACAGACAGCAATGAAAACTTGACAGGGATTATAATCCTTTCCTACTCTAGCTAAAACTGAAAGTTATGGCTATACACACACACACACACACACGCACACTTTTAATGTTACTGAAAAGTTTGCACTCCATAAACATACTGTAAATGTTTTGAATAGGAAATGTGAATGTATCACGTGCTGCCACCTGGTGGTTTCCTACAGTATACTCATACAGCCAGTATACTGTAACCCCTACCCTGCCAAACCCTCAATTTGTACTGAACCCTACCACATTACAAAGAAGAGAATAGAATTCAGAGGTAAATGCAGGACATACATATATGATCGCAAACAGAAACTGCTGTGCGGCTACACTGCTTTCAAGTTACACCCTAAAATTAAACCACACAAAGTATTAGTAGGTCACCGTTTTAAAGCTCTTGTCATTACGAAGCAAAGCACATAATCGGAGTGTGACACAGAGAGAACGCTCCTCCTCCCTCCCTCAGCAGCCAATCAAATGCAACAAAACACATATGATTTAAATGTCCTGAAACCACACGCCCGATGTTCGCACATGCTCTATGTAGAAATTTATGAATAATTTTTAAAAAAAACGAAAACCAGTTCCTCACAACCACCAAATGATGACACAGTTCCCGGACTACAGTCTACATTCAGTCACATGTTCAGAATTAACCCTTTACTGTCACTATCTGGAAACCATGAGCTAAAGGAAGCGATTGGGAAAAACTCTTACAAAGCTCCGGCAAGACTGGTTTGAAGTATTAAGGATAAATGCATTGAGTATTATTAACTCAGAGCTAGAATAATAAAACACATTGCTTAAATTCTTCAAATAGACCATCATAAGACTAGACATTCCAAACTGCACAGTAAACATACATCGTTTTAAGCATAAGTACAAATGATATTACCAAATAGAATGGCGATTTAATTTTTGGCGATTTTATCTGTGTATCGCTCAGCTGTAGATCCTCAAATCACCTGAATTGGTGCCGACACTATCCATCCTCCCAGCTACTTTTGCTCCCCATGGTCCCTGTGTGTTGTAAAGTAGCCAACGCCCCCCCACGCGCGCGATGGACTAAAATTCCAAGTGTAGTTTACTAATTTGTATTGAGATTGTAGTCCATCACAGGTGTGAGCTTGGAGCGGTAGCTACTTTACAATATACAAACGGACCATTAGGAACAAAAGTAGTCACCCCCCTGAAGGAAGGTCAGTGTCAGCATGAATTCAGAGATGATTTGAGGATCTACAGCTGAGTGATGCACAAATAAGATACATTTAAGTTAAGGTGCTATTTAGAAACATGGGCCAAAACCGCCTTATAATTTACAAAATCCACACACACATCTAAAAACTTACACTTCTAAAGATTTCTTCCCAAATAGCTGCTGGTGAGCAGGATAACTGGGCTACAATCTGAGTATATGATGAACAGGAAGTCTGTGGTGAACCTAGGTGAAAGAAGGGGACATTTAAACATTCACTGGCAGCTCTGAAAGCCCTCTGTTTACAAACAGATCAGATAAGACGGCCACACCACCAAGGATGGAGGATCAGGCCCTGACTCCATGATGTAGAATAACATGGGGAACCCGGCCTTCTGGATGGATCAGATTTACATACAATCATCAGGCAATGTGATCACACACACACACACACAGCTATACATCATACATAGAGGATCTGAATGTAAACCTGCATTAACACGTCTCCATCTTCTCTTCTGCTGGGTAAAATCTCAGAAGTAAATAAATACTAAATCAGGAAAATGCAAAAATAAAATGCTAATAAAAAGAGTACCTGGGACTGAGGCAGTACGACGGGTCAGCTCTCCCTTCACACAGGTCCAGCAATCGAACGGAAGCCCTAAACGGCAGAAAACGGATTGTTGTTTTTAATGTAAATAGGACTGTTGTGATGTCGTTATGGAAACACGTGCGAGAATAGAATCCGGGTGTGAAAGATAAACTTCAATAAAGCTGATGAGACGGAAGGGGTTAAATGGCACAGGTGACGACTTGGGGGTACGTGGGACATTTATATAAATATATATATTTGTAAGGAAACATTAACATTCAAGATGGCGGAGGGGGCCGAGGCCGCAGCACAGCTACCGTAACAAGTAGTCCCTCGCACATGTGTCCTTCCGCCCCCCTTTTTTCGCTCAGAGAAAGGCCAGGAAAGCGGCGGCGGGGACGCAGAAAGTGGCGTCAGAACGTGGCTTGGAAGGATTACCGTTGGCGAGGCTGCGTCCCCGCGGTGTGTTTTCGTTGTCAGGCGTTCGACGTTCGCTACTTCCGCCTGGCTGGGAGTGCGGCTGATTCGCCGTGTCTGAGACGGAGAGCGCGGATGGATCTGTTACGTAGTACCGGCCGGGAGAACGCGAGAGGCTCCCACCCACAGCGATACTCGGTAGTGATGCACTATTCATTATGTTGTGATCCTCAGACCGACGACGGGTATGCTGCTCACCTGTACCGGAGTGGTGCTCGGGATACCTCCATTGAGGGCTGAATCTCCCAAAATCTGCTTAGGTTTCCTGATTTGCCCCTCCAATCTGATTGTGGGGTGAACAACCTTTGTATATCACCCACCTCCCTATGTGGACTTTAAGTATATGTAAACCTAATCACTAAATCTCATACAAGTCCCCGTTCACACCTGTGCGATATGAAGCGCTTTGGGCGTCGCACAATAAAACTGTCACATCATTTTATATATGGCCAGTTTACACTTAATGTATTGCGCTGCCGTGTGACTTGAAGGCTCCATTCACATAAGCGTAACCAGGTGATTTAGAGGCTTCCTTCGCCTCCAGTTTTGGTAGAGGTTTTTTTTTTTTTACCCCTAGTTTTTGGCCCCATAGTCTTTAAGATAGGAGCACCTGAAAAACCCACGAAAATGTGTTTTACAGGCGCACCTATTAAAGACTTTGAGACAAAAAACGTACACACAATAAGCTCATGTACTTTTTTGACTATCACAGGCAACAAGAGACACAATGCTCAGATGTGAATGGACCCCATTAAGGATTATAGGATTTGTCGTCTCGAACATTGGCGTGCTTCAGGAATAGCGCAACTTAATGCTTAGGTGCTAATGGGGCCTGGAAACAGTGCAGGTGCATTTTTAGACCTATAGACTTCAACTAGTAATAAACTAAGGAGTTAAATCTTAAAAATACATTTAAGTACCTTAACTATTAATAAAAATGGATCTTATTTGTGTATCACTCGGCTGTAGATCCTCAAATCATCTCTGAATTGGTACTGACACTGTCCTTCCTTCTGGAGGGTGGCTACTCTTGTTCCCCATGATCCCTGTGTGTGTTGTAACGTAGCCATTTTGAGATAAGGTTGCTGATCCAGCCAGTTGTGGATGGCTTTGTATGTTAGTATTTTGAATTTTATACGTTGGTCTATTTAAAGCCAGTGGAGGGATTGGCAGAGATGGGTGGTGGCCACTAAACGGTTGGTGAGGTGGATGAGTCTAGCAGCAGCATTCATAGTGGACTGAAGGTGGGATAGCATGTGCAGATGTAGGCCAACGATAAGGGAGTTGCAGTAGTTGAAGTGAAAGATGATGAGATCGTGAACTAGTAGCTCTGTGGTGTCATTTGTTAAGAAGGGAACCTATGTAAATGTAATATAGAGGTCTAAAAAAGTCTATGACAATCCCTCTGACTGGGTAACCAAATACACCACATACACTATATTGCCAAAAGTATTGGGACACCCCTCCAAATCATTGGATTCAGGTGTTCCAATCACCTCCATGGCCACAGCTGTATAAAATCAAGCACCTAGGCATGCAGACTGCTTCTACAAACATTTGTGAAAGAACGGGTCACTCTCAGGAGCTCAGTGAATTCCAGCGTGGTACCGTCATAGGTTGCCACCTGTGCAATAGGTCCATCCGTGAAACTTCCTTGCTACTAACTATTCCAGGGCCACCTGTTGGTGAGTAACTTGGGTGTGGGACTCCACATTGACTCACTGTGCACTTGGTCACACACCACCTTGCAGTTTCTGCAACACGTGTCAGATTGCACTGCGGGTGGGGGTGTGTGGAAGCAGTGCCATTGAATTACATACACCGCCATGCCCCAGAATGCAGAGGGAAGTTTTGTGAGGGATTGCGGTGCGTTCCAGCAGCTACCGCTCTGGAACGCACCACATTCGGCATGAACAAGCCCTTAAGGCATCAGCATACCAAGACATTTTGGACAATTTCATGCTCCCAACTTTGTGGGAGCAGTTTGGGGATGGATCCTTGTTCGAATATGACTGCGCATCAGTGCACAAAGCAAGGTCCATAAACACCTCAACCCGATAGAACACCTTTGGGATGAATTAGAGTGGATACTGCGAGCCAGGTCTTCTCGTCCAACATCAGTACCCGACCTCATAAATTCGCTTCTGGAAGAATGGTCAAATATTCCCATAGACACACTCCTAAACCTTGTGGACGCCTTCCCAGAAGAGTTCAAGCTGTTATATAAAGAGTGGGCCAACTCAATATTGAACCCTACGGACTAAGACTAGGATGCCATTAAAGTTCATGTGCGTGCAAAGGGAGGCGTCCCAATACTTTTGGCAATATAGTGTATATCCAACAAAATATAAAGCAAAAATATTAAGTTGGCCTTATGGGAAATTACCTCTTTAAACGGTGGTACCATCTCCCTCAGGGTTTACCAATAGAGAATACCCTGTTTATTTTCCAGAAATATATTACTTTGTTATAACATGATAAATGTCCAAGCAGAAAAAAATCCCACACCATCATAAAAACAATTAAAAACATAAAAAAACAGTCACCAAAAACTGTAAGGCAGAGCCTATAGGTAGATATAAATAGGTCTAAATCAATACTGTGCAATAAATGATACTGATGCGGTTTCTCCAAATATGATATCTTAATAACGCCACTGCTTGTACACGGAGTGGTGTTTAATGTATTGTCACGCAAAAGCAATATAGTCACCGAAGGGTATAATTCTTATTTGTACAGGACCAGAAGACTGTGAAGTAGGTGTTGGATACAATCGTCCACGTGTGCAAGACAATATTGTATCGTGTAAGCTCACTCAAACAGTACTAAATGTATATTTCCTGTTCCCGGGTGCCTTGTCCTCCAAGATCGTATGAATGATAAGTGGTATGTGGGAGATCTAGTGATCAAACAGCAGTCTCACCGTCATGGGGGGCAGGAAACCTTCACCCCCTGTTGTGTCGCTGCATTTGCAGAGTCTCTGTATTTACAAAATTGCTGCATACGCAGAGTCATATATCAATGTATCAGATGTCAAATCAAAGTGTGGCACAAACGATCCCCACTGGCTGTAGGCCACCATATGAAGAGCATATGTGATCGATGTATAGCAAATCAAACGGTCTCACCTGGACATGAAGATAATCCTCTTGCAGGAAATCCCAAAACCAGAACTTTATTTCCATACTCATAGGGAAAACAGTTGCATAGTTACATAGTATCTGAGGTTGAATAAAGACATTAGTCCATCAAGTCCAACCTATTATGGTTCTGATGAAGGAGGCGTGACCTCGGAAACGTTAACCATCAGGGAGGAAGAGTAGTCGGTGGGCTAAGCCTTTCATGCCTTTACCGTTTCATGCCTTTTTAAACGTAATCCTTGTGAGTATGTTTTCATCTGTTTAAATTATTTTATTAAAATGTTTTTACCCGATGGAGGCGCTCTCTGTGTTTTTGTTTTTCCAGAATTGAGGTTTCCCTAAAGTCTTTTTGAGAGCCTGCCTCATTCACGGTGCATACTAAGATCACTGCAGATTTTCTCCTTGTTTGGACGTAAGCCGCTGGCGCTTTGTTACATACTGTTTGCTATTATGATCTCATTCTTAGGAGTACTACTTGTACCCTTGTATATTACGGTCCCTTAAGAAATCGTCCAAAAGTTTCTTGAACAATTCCACATTCTTTGCTGAAATCACCGCCTGCGGCAGTGAGTTCCAGACCCTAACTGCTCTAACTGTGAAGAACCCCACACAGCTTATCAAGTTGGCCCTTCTGAAGTTTAGTTTGCAATATTGTGTACCAAAGGACCACTCTAAGAAACAGGCATGGGACTGCAGACTGAAACTGCCACTTGACTCTACCCTAACATGTTTCTCTCTGCATGAGAGCTTTCTCCAAGTTCCTTTGAGAAAGCTCTCATGCAGAGAAACGAGTGATGCAACATCCACACTGATATGTCAGTTACTAAACTAGTGATGCATGATGAGAATGAGTGGGTGAGCTGAGGAGTAGACAGATTTAGGGTCATCGGCATAGAGGTGGTATTGGAAGCCATGGACCAATATAGGATGTGTAGATAGAGAAATGAAAGGGTCCGAGGACAGAGCCATGAAGGACCCCTACTGAGAGGGAGAGGAGAGAAGGAGGTAGAGTTGTAGGTGACACTAGAGATGTGCTGAGATGGGTAGGAGGAGAACCAAGAAAAAGCAGAGTCTTGGAGGCCAAGGCCAGTGGAGTTTTTCAGAAAGAGTGGGTGATCAACTGTATCAAAGTCAGCTGAAAGGTCAAGGAGTATGAGTACAGAGTAGTGACCATTGTTTTTAGCAGTTAGTAAGTCATCAATGAGTTTTAGGAGGGCAGTTTCAGTGGAGTGTTGTGGGCAAAAGCAGTATTTCACTTTGGTTGGCCAAAACAAAAATGCACAATACTTGAAAACGATACAGATGCACATGCACAAGTGTGTTCACAGACTTTAAGCTTTAATGTGATGAAATGACTGATGCTCCCCAGAAATGTTTTCCAAATTTTTCTACAAAAGAAGATGCTTAACCCTTTCGCTGCCAAGCTCTCCGGAACATTTTTCAAATCAGCCGGCCAAGCCATTTTTTGCAATTTTTTCCTATTGATTTGATTTTCAACTGCTGCATTGCTAGCGTTTGTAAAGTTATTTTCTGACTAAATCTATAAGATAAAACTGTACTGGGTTAATAAATAACAAATATTTGCAAATTTGAAATTGCGCCTTTTTGCGAAAAGGTAAAATTACGGTACGCAAAACTGTAAATAAGCGACTTATGTTAAAAAATTGTTTTCACGCTGTGTTGGTGTTTGTGTTGTGATAAAATGATACAGGCGTATATTTATTGCAACACAAAGATCACAACGCATGGCAATGCGTCACAAAGCTTTGCCATGCGCTGCCACAGTTAATTTTATTTTTTTTAAAGAAAAAAATACATTTAAAAAATCATGCACTGCGATGCGTTCTAACAACGCACTGCAGCGCATGTGCATGGCGTACACCTCAGTATGTGTATGTTATGTGGGGGAGGGAGGGGTTGGGTCTTTTTTTTATTAGTTTTTTTTGTACACTTATTTTATTTCTTACATTTTTATTTATTTTTACATTTTCTATTTATTTTAAATAATTTTTTATTTTATTTTTTTTAC